TTCTAAAAAAAAAAAAAAACAAAAAAAAAAGAAGAGAAAATGTAATACGTGAAAGTTTTTACAGACAGAGGACTAAACATGCAAAATGAGTTAATGACATAAAGGAAGGAAAGAAAGTCCATGTTGACCAGAAACATCAGTTTTCACACCACTATGTTCTATCATCAGATTATTGTTCCAAGATCATAATTTAAAATAATATTACTTGGTATTTACCTCATTCTATTTCCTATTTATTCAGCCAAAATTATTTCTGGAAACCTGCTAAACTCCAGGGATTAGTGTAGGCACTTGTGTAGGGCATTGGTTTTTTGGCGGGGGAGGTGCCAGGGATCAAACTCGGGTCCTTGTGCTTGTGAGGCAGGCAGTGGAACCACTGAGCTAAATCCCTGGCCCCTGTGGGTGTTTTCTTTGTTGCTCACTATGGATAATTTCTTACAGATAACGTTATATAGCTATTATAGAAATATAGCCAATGAAGTTCTCAGGTTAACTGATGCCCATAGTTTTGAAGCATAGCATGTGGTAACATCTCTGACTCCAGTTGCCTTCAAGTGCTGATTTTTTTGGAGGGGGGTATACTGGGGATTAAATTCAGGGCTGCATCCATAGCCCTTTTTTTATTTTGAGACAGGATCTCACTAAGTCACTAAGTTGCCCAGGCTGGGCTCAAATGTGATATCCTCCTGCCTCAGCCTCCCAGAGTACTGGTATTACAGGATATGTGCCACCAAGCCCAGCACATTCTGCTTTCAAACCCTTAAACAGATTCTATTCCTACAAAGCCTCTCTAAGGTTTTTCATGCTGGTATCATTTATACAGTTCCAAAGTACAAACAGATAATATTCAAACCAAGGTCAAAACTAGGTTTCCTGGGTTGCTCTCACTAGATCACACATCCCACCTGAAAGATGGACTAAACCAAGGCACAGACTTGTAGACAGTAAGCAAAACATATGAGAAACCTAGAGAATCGGAACACTGGAAAAATGCTGAGGCTCCTTCAACCTGCAAGACTGGAGTCCCTCCACCAAGTCGGTGAAGAGATTTGTTCAGCTCAGGTTTGACTAACTAACCACACTGGACAGGAACCTAGTACTTCTAGAAACAGAGCATTTCATCCTTGGAAAGCTCTAAATGATAGCCTTTCTTTCCTTTATGAGCTGAAATCTTGTCTTCCAATAGCTTCTCCATACTGACTCTAGATCTACTTCTTAAAAGCATGTCAACAACATCCTATTCTTCTGCCTCATGACAACTTTCATAACTGAAAACAGTTTCAGAAATTCATCAGTTCTTTCTCTTTCATGCTGGATGACCCCAAGATGTTGGGTGGATAATCAATGTGCACAAAGAACAGCAAAGAATGAAATAATAGACAAAGGATGAAAAGGGTCAAGCAAGGAATGATCTGATCATAGTTTCAAACAATGACTTAAATTTCATACCAGGAGGAAGGCAGAAGCCAAGTAAGGGGCAGAAAGGTAAAATGAATCGTCAAGTGAAGTGTTTTGTTGACAAATGCTTTTTATAAAAATGATCCAAATATTTTTACCTCTTGAGACCACTTTAGGTAATGACTGACAGGTACAGCATGCTTCTCAATTTCCTTGGTTTCCATCTTCTGATATATACAAGGTTCTAGACCTTGTTTTATAAAAAAGAAGAAAATTAGAAAATACGTGAAAATGTGTTACATTCAAATCACTGTTCCCAAATAGAAAAATTTGAACACAGTACATTATTTATTTGGATAGTTTTTAGCAAGTTTCGCCAATTTTGCCCTATTTTCCCAAATGATTGCAAGCCATATATTTTATTTCTAGTATTTAATAGTTACTTTTATATTTATAACAAGTAATAGTTCTCTACCAAGTCAAGAATTAAATGATCCATCATCTGGCGTTCTATAAAGTAATACCTTTAGTAATGCTTTTACTCTTACCCTTTCTCGTGCCCTACAGGCCATACTTTATTTAAAATATATGAAATTTTAGTAACAAGTGATCAGGAGTTCTTCCTTAATAACTGCATCAAGCATCAAAAGCTAAGCGACAAGGGCTAGGGGTTTACCCCAGTGGTGCCTCTGCCTGCCTCGCAAGCACAAGGTCCCGAGTTCAATCCCTGGTACCAAGAAAAAAAGAGACAAACTAGGCAATAGCAAATCAAAGCCAGAAAGCAATACTGTCAAGTAGGCTTAATCTTTAGTCTTTCATTTAAAAAGATGATTAGAAACTTTGTCATTTCTGTTTATACCTTGTTCCTACACAGTTACTGCATACAGTGGGTGCATAATAATGATGTAATAACTATTTTGTGGAATTGTGAGAACAGTACTTTTTTTTTTAGTTTATTGGTACATTTTAGGTAGACAGTACAGTTACCTTCATCATTGGGATCTTGTACCTTTACATGACAGGACTTGGTTCTCATTTTTTCCCCTTGTCCCTGCCCTCCCTTCACCCTCTTCTCTCCTCCCCATTTACACTTTATTTCCATTTTTTCATTTTCTCATATTTTTTTTCTTTTCCCTTATTACCTTTCCCCTACCCTTCCCACTTTCCCTACACCTTTAGCCCTTTTCTTCCTATTTCACATTGTTAATTATCTCATTAGGATCTTATTCACTATTATAGTTTTTCACACCAGAGAAACTATTCGGTATTTACACATGTGACTTATGTATTTCACTTAGGAGTATATCCTCAAAATGTATCCATTTTCCTATGAATCAATCTAATTTCTCATTCTTTATGGCTGAGTAGTATTCCATTTTATAGAAAAACCACATCTTCTTTATGCAGTTTCCAACTGATGGACAAATGGGCTGTTTCCAAGTCTTAGCTATTACAAACTATGCCACTATAAACACTATAATAACTATGCCGCGCATATATCACTGTGGTATGATTCTTTCAATTCTTTTGGAAAAACTATTATCTAAAATATATAAAGAACTCAAAACAATCAGCCCCCCAAAATATAAAGACCTGATTCAAAAATGGGCATCCGAAATGAACAGACATTTATCAAAGAAGTAAAAGCAGCACGTAAATATATGAAAAAATGTTCCACATCACTGATCATTCAAGAGATGCAGATGAAAACACTGAGATTCCACCTCACCCCACAAAGAATGGCTGCTATCAAGAAATCACACAATAACAAATGTTGGTGGGGTTGTGGGGAGAAAGGAACCCTTCTCCACTGTTGGTGGGAGTGCAGACTGGTGCAACCACTATGGAAATCAATATGGAGATACCTCAAAGAGCTGGAACTAGAGGTTCCATTTGACCTAGACATCCCTCTGCTGGGTATCTTTCCAAGAGAACAGTACTTATTAAGAGTTCTAACTAATGATTTTCTTATTTATTCATTTTTAAGTATTTATTATGTATTTGCTTCTTAATAATATTAATAATTTGAATTAATTTTAAATTTTAACTTAAAATAATATTAATTCTTAAAATTAATGTACTTATTTATTTGTTACGTATTTATGAGTCCCCTCATGATTCTGTACTAGGAAAAAAGTATACAAGAAGAGTTAAAAAGAAATTGAAATACAATAAAATTATGATCAAAATGGCTTCCATAATAGCACAGCACTATAATTAAAATAAAATGTCCACCAAAAAAGCTAAATATATATTTTTCCTTTTTTACAATTAATTTCCTCAGAACTTTTTTCTTTGTGTTTAAAAGAGCTACCTGTCAGGGAAATTCTTTTTACAATTAATTCTTAATTTAGTCATATATCCAAAAAACAAAAGAATAAAAATAAAAAATGTTTGCCTCTCAACTTGAAATGTGGTTGAAGAAATACTCTGGATCTCATCATCCACTCAGATTATCTGGGGACTCAGGACCAGCCAATTCTCAGCCTTGCCTTCTCCTCTGCCCGTCTGACTTTAGGAGATTCTTTCCCAAAACTCTTCTGACAGCTGTACCTTTCTCTGTTTGAAATTCAACAGAGGGCCAGGGATGTAGCTCAGTGGCACCACGCCTGCCTGGAAAGCACAAGGTCCTGAGTTTGATGCCCAGTACCAAAAATAAATAAATTCAATGGAAAGAGATTAAATAATTTAAGTAAGAATGACATATAATCTCAACATGGGTTATACTTATTTTTTAAAAAAACGACACACAATACATGTGGGAAGGGTAGGGAAAAGCAAATAAGGAAAAAGAAAAAATATGAGAAAATGAAAAAATAGAAACAAAGTTTTTGTAAATAGGGAAGGGAGGAGGGGGTGAAGGAAGGGCAGGGGAATGGGGAAAAAATGAGAACCAAGACCTGTACAAGATCCCAACGATGAATGTTACTACTGTATCCCTAAAATGTACCAATAAACTCAATTAAAACAACACAATACATACTATATAAGTGAAACATATGACATTTAAAAATAAAATGAATACACTTATAACTGCCCTGGAATCTTATCTCCAGGCATGGGATTTGGCTTATTGACATTTTGGGCTTGAACATGTCTTGTTGTGGGGGCATCTCACACATCGTAGGATGTTTGGCTGCATCCTTGGTCTCCACCTACTAGATGCCAAGAGCACCCTGCTCTAATTGTGACAAATATCTCCAGACCTTGACAAACGTCCCCTGCAGAAAGCAAGAATGGCATGTGCAAAAGAACCACTGAACACAGGGCAAGTTAAAGCATAAGCTTTAAGACAACGTCTATTTGTGAGGAAGTATTAAAGTATAAACTTTAATGCAATGTCTCTTTAGTATTAAATAATTTAAAATCTTTATGACTCCTGATCATTCCTTGATTTTTCTTTTTTAAAAATGGTAAAGTTCCAAGTTCTGCCAGACTGGTGATACATACCTGTGATCCCAGCATCTGGGAGGCTGATGCAGGAAGATCACCCCAGTGTAGCCTGGGCTACATAATGAATTCAAGACCAGCCTGAACTAGCAAGACCCTTTCTCAAAAACAACAAACAAAACAAATTCCAAGTTCCAATTATTGTGCTCATTTCTGTTCACAGTCTGTCTTCATCTTACCTATCCAGGCTTATTTCACATTTAATGACTAGCTTACAGTTTTCATGCCAAATTGGCTAAGCTGTCTTCTCTCAAAAGTCAAGCTTAAGAATACTTGTCTGTGGAATAAACACTTCATGAGCATTTATTGTGTGTGGGTTGCATAAATAACCAATCTTATCTTAAGCCACTGTGTTCTGAATAGTGATCCATATCAGGGGTGCAGAAATGAAATTAGAGAAACTGTCCCATCTAATAAATCAGATGAAATGAGCTCATACTCTTAAAATATGAGACAACCTAAATCTTCATTTTTCTCTATCCTGATAGCTACCCCCTTAAATAAATAAAGTTTTATTTCCTTTATAAAAATTAAAACAGAGAGGGCCACGGATTTAGCTCAGTGCTTCCGCTGCCTGCCTCGCAAGCTCAAGGTCCCAATTTCAATCCCCAGTACATAAAAAAAACAGAGAAAGGCTATTTTTTTCTAGAGGACTTTGCCACCTTTTCTTTCCCTCTTCGCCACTCAAAAGAACAGGAATTGCCAAGGCTCCAAAGACCATACTTCAAGAAAACCGTGCCTGGGATTTTGGAACCCAACACTGTGCCTTGGCACATACTTATCTGGCTGAAGTTGGACATTGTGACCCGATTCTTGCTGCACTCATCTTCTGAGATGTTATTTTCTCCTGCTCCTGAATTCAATTGGTCATTTTGACAGCAGGTGTTGACTGTTATGACCTGGAGAGAAAGTCGCTTGTTGAAACACAGTGATGTTAACCTGGAAGCACTCTGGGCCACATTAATAGAGGCACCAGGGTTGAGTAGCGGTTAACACTGGCTGCAGGTTAGAGTCACCTGGGATTTTAACAAATCCCATCACTCAGGCCAGCAGGACTCTGCACCCCTGTAATTTCTCTTTGCAGTCATGATTAAGAATCAATGTGTGAAGCAGGAGTTCTTAGGCTTGGGTGTGCATCAAAATCGCCCTAGTTAAAACCTCAAGCCACTGGACCCACCCTCCTATCTCTACTCGGTAGATTGGGAAGAGGGAGAGTCTGGGTCTCTGATAAAGTTCCCAGCAGAAGCTCATGCTGCTGGTAGGAGACCACAGTTTGAGAACCACTGATATCGAGGGAAGCAAAAACAATTTGGATGCAAGGCACTGGTACTAGAATTTTACTCCCTGTCAATTAGAAGCTTCATGAACTTGGGTAAATAATTTAATATCTCTGCGCCTAAAAATATGACTGTCATATATACTTCTCATGGACAGAAAACAAATAGGGTAATTTGGTAAATCACAAAGCAATAAAAAAAACGTACAATGTTGAGTACTTGAACTCAGTGCAATTCCTAGGTGAACTCTGGCCATGTGAACCACTCTAAAAATAAGTCTACTTAGATGCATATTTTTCAGGATTCCAAACAACTCATAACATTTACCCTAAAAGAATAGCTTTTGTCATCAAACTACATTCATTTCCTAAAAGGTATTTACATAATGGTTTCAATATCTCTTTACTTCTGCTTATCCTTCTAAAATGGGAGCTCTGGTATTTTTTTTTTAAATGCACCCTGAAGATTATTTGGAAAAATAAGGGTAAAGCAAAAATAAAGCATTATGACAAGAAGAAGCTAATTCTTGCAGAACTGCTAATTCAGATCTAAGACTTGCTAGCATAGAGAAAAATGCTGAATGACATCAACAACATATCAGAAGTTGCAGGATTGAACTAAAACACTGCTTACAGGGAATGTTATAGTACTAATTGCCTATATTAGACAAATCTCAAATCAATGATCAAAGTTGCTGTATTAACAAACTAGAAAGAGAAGGGCAGATTAAACTCAAAATAAACAGAACAAAGGAAATATTAAAAAGCAGGAATCAGTGGACAAGAAATCTGAAAAAAAATCAATGAAATAAGAACTGGTACTTTGAGAAGATCAATAAAAGAGATAAACTGGTAGCCAGACTGATCATGAAAGAGAAAAACATGTCAATTTAAAATATTAAGAATTAAATAAGTGGGTCGAGGTTGTAACTCAGTGATGCCACACCTGTCTGGCAAGCACAAGGTCCTGAGCTCAATTCCAGTACCAGAAAAAAAAAAAAAAAAGAATAAAATAAGTGAAGAATTCCAGGAAGGTAGCAGTGTGGTAAAGAGCAGGGAAAGACCCTCTCTTAAAAAAAAAAAAAAAAAAAAAAAAAAGAATAAAATAAGTGAAGAATTCCAGGAAGGTAGCAGTGTGGTAAAGAGCAGGGAAAGACCCTCTCTGAGATTTGGTGTCCAGTCACTGGAATACAGCAAAATAAGGAGGAGGAGAAGGAGGGAAGTAGAGCAAGGATCTAAAGTGAGAACCGAAGCCCATAAGGATGGGTAAGAGAGGGATCTCAGAGCAGGAGTAGCAAGCAGTGTTTTCTCCCTAAGCCCTGGCTTGCTGCAAGGGAGGGGTTCCTTGAACCTGCAGGTGCATGGTGACTACTGGTGATCCCAGAGGCCTCCACAGAGAAATGTACTAGTAGGATGGAGCAGTGGGTGCAGCAGACTGTAGTGGCTGGTGAGTTATTTGGGTTCAGCCACCCACAGAAGATGGCTATTGGTAGCTCACCATTTTGGAGAGGAGACAACTGAACTCTGAACTCAGCAGATGTGGGTTGGCTCCATCTAGTGGCTCTCAGTGTCAGAGTGGGGTGGGGTCAAGTTCAAGTCAGCAGAAGGTCAAGAGTTGAGTTCAAGCCAACAGGAGTCATATAAGTGTTGCAAGCTGAATAACTCAGGTTCAAGCCACACAGCCAGAAAACAGCGTGAACTTCAATGAAACTAAAGGTGCGGGCTTACTGGGGTTATCCACTATTGCGCCATAAATCTTCTGCTGGATTTCTGGAATTAACTGACACGGATCTGGGCTCTGTTGGCCCACTCTGTCTACCAGTGAGAGCAGCAACACACCTTTCAAGTGGATACTTTTTCTTTTCTTACTTTTTCTTTTGGGTGCATGTGTGTCTCTTTTCTTGATTGTTTGTTCCCCTTCTTATATGAATGTGGACACTGTTTCCACATTTGTTGTTGTTATTGTTTTGTTCTGTCCTTGTTTTTATTTCTTCCTTCTCTCTTGCCTTACTGTCTTCTTCACCCGTTTCCCAAAGTTGGCATAACCTTCCTTTGTCCTCTAGCCTTGCTTCTAATCTCCTTCTCTTCTTCTGTTTCTCTATTTTTCCCTCTAACCCATTTTAAATTTTCTTCCCTGAGGGTAAAACTAGTATAGGGAGGGCATATTTACTGTATATAATTTTCTGGTTTGTTTTAGATTTTGTTATATAATGACAAATATAGTTCATACAGTTAAAGGTAGTAAAGTAATACTTACCAACACTTGTCACTGGCTAGGCTATGTTTGCTACTATTGTTATTATGAATCATACTACTTTAGCCAAGGTGATATAATTGTTCTAATCCATTGTTCTTCCTGGTACGTCAAGATTGAGACTGCCTAAAGTTCATAAACAATACTGTAGGCCAGTGCCAAAGAATCAGGAGCTAGGCCAAATAGGCAGCAATTTCTCCTCCAAAATAAATTAAAGACATAGGATCTTGCAACAGACTCAAAACCCAAAAGCCAACTATACCTGGATGACATCTCTGAAAGGCAGTTACTTCCTAAGGCTTCTTGATACTGGCAATAAAGCTGCCTGCCATTAGGAATTTACAGCCATCAACCCACAAACTAAACTTTAAAAAAAAAACCTGAAAACGAGAAGGCATGGAAGAAAGATGCAACCCCAAACTTCCAGCTCACCAAAGGCATACCTAAGAGATAATGAGGTGGAACCATTTGAAAGCCACCCACCTGGACTTTCTGAAGTGGTAACAGCAGAAGGAACAAAGAAAATGAATGAGGCTCCAGAAAAAAATCAAATTATAAATAATTTCTCAGGTAACTAGAGAGATGGTGACCATAATAAAGAATATGGTTAGTCACACATGTGTAAATACCAAATAGTTTCCCTGGTGTGAATATTCTGCAACAATGCATAAGATTCTAATAAGATTACTGACATTTAGAAATTTGAAGAAAGGAGCTAAAGGTGTAGGGAAGGTGTGATGCGTAGGGGAAGAACAAAAAGGGAAAAGAAAAAAATGTGAGAGAATGAAAAGATGAAAATAAAGTGTTTGTACATGGGGAGGGGAGGGGGGGTGAAGGGAGGGCAGAGGTAAGGGGAAAAAATGAGAATCAAGACTTGCCATGTAGAGGTACATTATCCCAACAATGAATGTAACTGTATTGTATCCCTAAAATGTACCAATAAACTCAATAAAATTAAAAAAAAAAAAGAATATGGTTAGTGAAGCTCGAGCAAATATACATTAAAAAAAAAAAAAAGAGGAGCAGAAGATGAAAATGAATGAAAACCATTGGGCCAGGGATTTAGTTCAGTGGTTCTGCTGCCTGCCTCACAAGCACAAGGTCCTGAGTTCAATCCCCAGTACAGAAAGAAAGAAAGAAAGAAAGAAAGAAAGAAAGAAAGAAAGAAAGAAAAGCATGGATAATGATGAAAACCATGAATAGCCAATATAGGAAAAAAATGGAATCCATGAAATCCATTCAAATAGATATCCAGGAGATTAAAAATTCTATTGAAAGTATAAACAGTAGAATCAACCAATGCAAGCACATAATATCAGGTATAGAAGGCAGGATTGTGGTTAGCAATTATTAAAAATACAAAGGGATCATGAAAACTCAATACAACAGCTGCTAGATGATACAAAGAAAAATAACATAAGATTTATCAGTTAATGAAAAAGCAGGAGATGGCACAAATGACATTTTTTAAAAAACTGTTCACAGAACTAATAGTAGGACTGGGGATTTAGCTCAGTGGTGCTGCCACCTACCTCAGAAGCACAAAGACCCAAGTTCAATCTCCAATACCAAAAAGAAGAAGAAGAAAAAGAAGAAGTAATGGCAGAAAACTTCTTAAGCATAGAAGAATAATGACATACAGGTAAGTGAGGCATGTACAACTCCAATTAGCCATAATTTAAAAAATCTACTCCAAGATATATAATAGTCAAAATTCCAGAAATTCAACACAAGAAAAAATATTAAACTGTTAGAGAAAAGAAATCAATCACCTATAGGAAAACCCATCAGAATCACAGGAGACTTCTTGACACAAACCCTCAAGTCAAGGAAAATTTGGAGTATTTCAAGGCCTAAAAGAAAATAAGCTTCAACCTAGATTGATGTACCCCATAAAACTATCTTTCAAAATTAATGGAGAAATAAGATGTTTCCATGACAAAGAACACCTGAATGAATTCATGACCATCAAACCAGCACTCCAAAATGTTATGAAGGACATTATATAAAGAGATAAGGAAAACTACAACTTCATGAACCCCAGCAAAATGAATCCACCAGGCAAGGAAAGTAAATAAATGGAGGAAAGGGCAGGAAAATAAAATAACATACAAGGAGAAGTCAATATGTACCACTTATAGCCATCAATGTTAATGGCAACAACACTAAAATACACATTCTTCTTTTATGCATGTGGGACATTGCCCAAAATAGACCACATACTAGCTCCTAGAATATGCTTAAATTAATGCAGAGGAATTGAAATTATCCTATATATATTATCAGAAATAGTGCAATGAAATTGGAAATCAATGGCAGAATAAAGCACAGAAAATTCACATGCATGTGGAAATTAAATAACACCCTAC